TAACATTCTCCAGATTTTTCTAGAAAAAATCGAAATGTCTAAATTTCACCTTTACAGCCTGATAGACACCGGCGATGAAGGTTGCCCTTCGCAGTCGTGCCACCCAAATGCAAGTGTTTCAGATAGGGCAATTTCAAGTAGAAACTCTTACAGTTGCAGCACAGCAAACTCAAAGTTCGGTGCATGACACCAAGGTGGAATAATGCGGAACTAACAGAGAAAATGATGCCTCGACATAATCAACTGGACAGGCGCAAAAGGAAGAGGTAGCAGAAGAGTAACTGCTTTTCATCATAAAAATAAATCTGTGGTGGAAAAAGAAGTCTGCACTTTTTTAATTTACATCATTTCGTAATTGGGTGGAGCAAAAAAAAATAAAACCTCCCTTTGAAACCCTTGATTGAACGGAACATTCATCTCCATCGACCATTTGAGTCGAAGCGACGAACGAAGACATTCGTAGCCGCATCTTACGTGTTTGGGCCGCGGTGCAGGCCGCCAGGCGCTCCGGACGGCCTTGTGGGCCTGGTTCCGCATGTTCTCGTACTGCCAGATCGTGGCTCCCACGTATGACACGCCGCACGTCTGCAACGGGATTCCAGTCGTTTCGCATCGTGAATCTCACCTCGTCTGCTACACGACTTCAACACTATGACAATATATACCACTCACACCTTGGCAAAAGAAAAAAAAGCATGCTATTCTGCAAGGCTCCAAAAAAAAAAAAAAAAAACATATATGCCAAACAAGTGGTTTTTAGATCATGGAAATGCTGGTTTTAGTGATCTTCCCAACATTGAACCAGAAGGGGACACAGGGAATTAGGACAATGATTGATCTGGAAATTGAAATGAAACAAAAGTGAACAGCATTTTTCTGGAAAAAAAAAAAATTAGCTATCAAAATGTAAATTACATTGAACAGAAATAATGTTAAAGGTACATATCTGGAGCTATATTGAACTTTAAATCAATTGAATAGAAATGGCATGGAATCCTCATGAACAAAATGATGGAGGGAGGGGAGTGAGGGGCAAAAGCAGGAAATTAGTCATTTTCCCGGATCGTTCTCGTGACTATGCCGACAAGAACTGCTCGCATTAACACCAAGACTTTAACCCCTAAACTGTGTCATTTTTTCCCTGCAAAGTCCTCTGCTGTATGTCCTTTTAGAAGATTCTGGCCAGGAAGGGCGCAACGCCGCATTATACGAATGGGTCGCAAATAAACCGGTGCATCTGGTTGCTCTCACTTCATCAAGTTATACATTTCAAGTTATATATTAGCATTTTTTGTTTATTTATTTAATGAATTTTTTATTTTTATACATAGATTCACCGTTTTAAAATTAAATCCATGTCCACAGCACCACTACATAAAGCCAAACCTAAAAGAAGCAAAGGCCGAAAATACCAAACATCCTCGGGATGAGAAAAGCAGCAAACGCACCACGACGGTGAACCCGGCCGGCTTCCAGAGGTCTCGGAGACCGACCCTCCCCCCGTCCTCGGGCGGGGCGAAGGGGGCCAGGCTGCTCCGCTCCTTCGCCGGCTCCACGTCGCGGGACCCCTTCCCTCGAGAGCCTGAATTCCGACCCCCCAAATGTTTAGAAACTGGTAGCTCTCATACATAACAAAATACTACAGGAAACTACGGTACTTTGAGCTTTTTTTCTAAGCAATAAAAGTTGCAGAGAGAATACCAAGCACGATTCCAGGCTTGCCAAACTCAATTCCACCAGCCATTTTTCATAGTGAAATTTTCCATTTCGCGGTGACTTCCACATATCGAGTCAAAACTCATCGTGAATAGTATGAAATCAGTCATTGCACATATTTTTCAAGTTTTTTTTTTTTAAGAAAAAACCAATGGTATGATCAATACCTTGAGTCCACATTGAATTTCAATGTTTTCTCTCTCTAGCCCCATAGAGCCATTGTCCAATTTTTCATATGCTTTTCAAACCTACATCTGGTAGTTCTAGGACGACAAAAATTGCTAATGAACAAATAATGCTTCAGTTTTAATTAAGTAAAGGGATATATTAAAATACATATTTATGATACCAACAGTGAACGAAAGCGACCAGCTCAATGGCAAGGCTCTCGAAGAATAGCAACAATTCTCTCTGATGAATAATTGAATAATTCCAAGCAGGTTCTTGCGTGAGTAAATGTTTCTACTCCGTCCTGAGAGATGGGTTGAACATGTTTAACATGTTCACACATGTTCAAACCTGGGTAATCTCTGGGCCTTTGATAATGCAAAAAATCCACTGTGTTGCTTTTTTAGGAGCCGTTGAGTGGACAATGCTGCTAAGCATAGGAGACTTCGCTGTTCGATGATCGAATCGCCTTGAAAAGATGGGAAATGAGGTGTCGTTTCAGATGAAATTCAAAATGTTACATTTCCCAGTAGTTTATCCCACGCATGCAACACATGCCGTATTGAAAATAAGTACAAGTTTGTTACCGATTCCTCGGTCTCTGCTGACAGGGACACTAGTGGTAAAGCTTAGAATTTAAGATTTAAAAGAGTCCTGGTACTGATAATCAGCATTCTAAAAGCTGAAAGAATAAGTTTAACAACAAAGAGCAGCTGCTAAGATATAAACACAGATGCCAGTTTGGCCGTGCTACTTTTAACAAATACATTTCAACAAGAAATAAAATACTTGCAAGAAAGATACGTCCCATGGGTCGTAAATACGGCACCATTAAATCAGAAAAACTCCTATATTATAAATCATTAGAGTTTCAGGAAAATGCTCCAACCTTTGTGCACGGGCTGCCTCCTCTCGAGCCGGAATCTCAGGTGCTGGACTCCCCGGTCCCGCCCGGCCCGGCACAGGG